GGCGCCTGGAACTACATGTCCTGGGCGTCGGGCGATAGGAATTGGACATCCCTGTGTAAAAAGTCAGACCGAGATAAATCACTTTTTCCCACCATGTGACCTACAACCTGTACAATTCAATTCAAAATAAATTTAAATTGTTGTTTAGTGTCGCAACAAATAATAAACTAATGTGGTTACATAGATGTACATAGATGTACATAGATGGTTACATAGATGTACAGACCCTTAAAATGAGAGATGTAGCTGTGTTCAGATCTAAACAATCACATTCAAATTGATGGTAAAATAAACTCAGTACACGCCTGTCATCAGTGAAAGTGACTCTGATTAACCACTTGCCCTCCAGAGGATTTACCTCCTTTCCTGATCAAGCCATTTTATGCGATATGGTGTTGCGTTACTTTAACTGACATTTACGCGGGTCATGCAACGCTATACATAAATGAAATTTGTCATTTTTTTCCCACAAATAGAGCTTTCTTTTGGTGGTATTTGATCACCTCTGCATTTTTAATACTATAAACAAAAAAAAGTCCGACCAAAAAAAAAAACCAAAACAATATTTTTGACTTTTCGCTATAAAACATATCCAATTAAATTTAAAAAATAGTTTCTTCATAAGTTTAGGCCAAAATGTATTCTACTACATATCTTTGCTAAAAAATCCCAATAAGTGTATATTAATTGGTGTACATGAAAGTTATAAGGTCTACAAATGGTGGTGTGTATATATATTGGAATTTTTATTTATTTATTTATTTTTTTTAGAATAGTAATGGCGGTGATCAGCAACTTATTGCAGGACACGTTGGGCCCAATTTGGACATTTTCATTTAGGGGTGTACTCACTTTTGTTGCCAGCGGTTTAGACATTAATGGCTGTGTGTTGAGTTATTTTGAGAGGACGGCAAATGTACAGTTATGCAAGCTGTACACTCACTACTTTACATTGTAGCAAAGTGTCATTTCTTCAGTGTTGTCACATGAAAAGTTATTATAAAATATTTACAAAAATGTGAGGGGTGTACTCACTTTCGTGAGATACTGTATATATATATATTTTTTTTATAATAAACATGTCATACTTACCTGCTCTGTGCAGTGGTTTTGCACAGGGCAGCCCTGATCTTTAAACTAATAAATTAGTGCAGTGCTAAAAAATTATTATACCAATAATAAAATCCATATACCATGCAGTTAAATGCCATAAAAATAGAGTGAAAAAAAATCTGAAATATAAATACTGTGCATAAGGTGCTCAAAAAGTTGTATGCTGAGATCATTAACACGGCCTCTAATAAGTGCAATCAATCACACATATAAATATAAATTAAGTGAAAAACCCCATTAGTTATTTAAATATCCCCTAATCAAATTAAATATAACATATGTGCCCTGTGCTTGGGGAAATAACACACTAAGTGATTAGTGCTAAAGTGACCAAACAGAAATGCAATCAAAAAGAATTATAAAAAATTCTATTATAACACATAAAGTCTCTGATAATCCATAAATCTTCCAATCAGTAATGCTTCAAAACCAATTTTCCATGTAAAGTGAATACTTTGTGATAACTGTGATTATGTCAGCACACATATCCTCAGTGGCTAAATTGCCCCCTCACCTCCTTTAAGCGACCCAATGGGCCACTTCGTTTTCAGGATCACTCCTGGATCTTTCTCAGGCAATGGCTGAAAAAAAATGCCCACTCATTTCCTCAGGGTATGATACCCTGAGGAAGTCACGTGGTCTAGTGACGCAACACGAAGGTTCATCCTGAAAGCAAAGTGGCCCATTGGGTCGCTTAAAGGAGTTGAGGGGGCAATTTAGCCACTGAGGATATGTGTGCTGACACAATCACAGTTATCACAAAGTATTCACTTTGCATGGAAAATTGGTTTTGAGGCACTACTGTTTGGAAGATATATGGATTATCAGAGACTTTGTGTGATAATTGAATTTTTATAATTATTTTTTGATTGCATTTCTGTTTGGTCACTTTAGCACTAATCACTTAGTGTGTTATTTCCCCAAGCACAGGGGACATATGTTATATTTAATTTGATTAGGGGATATTTAATAACTAAGGGGGTTTTTTCACTTCATTTATATTTATATGTGTGATTGATTGCACTTATTAGAGGCCGTGTTAATGATCTCAGCATACACTTTTTGAGCACCTTATGCACAGTATTTATATTTCAGATTTTTTTCACTCATTTTATGGCATGTTATTTGTGCATGGTATATGGATTTTATTATTGGTATAATAATTTTTTAGAGCTGCACTAATTTATTAGTTTGATTCTATCACTGTGAAGGTATCAGTTTAGAGTGGTGGCTGTTTTAGTTTTAAGGTACCACTTCCTATATGCGCAGGAGGAATTTGTTCATTTGATTTTATTCAGCCCTGATCTTTCTCTTCTCTGGTCCCCTGCTGGCATTCCTGGCCTCTCCTTCCTTCTAAGTGCCCTCAGAGCCAGCAGCTTGCTAAGGGAAAGCCCAAGCAGACTTGCTCTGAAGCCACTGCTCTGCGACCCTGCCCTCTCTCTCTCCTCATTGGCTCACTGGCTGTGATTGACCACAGTTGGAGTCAATAACTTCTGCTACTGTCTCTGTCAATGAGTAGAGAGTCCCTGGAGACATTAAAGGTGGAAAAAAGTCACAAGCGATTTATCTTGGACTTTTTTTTTTTTTTTTTTTAAATCTCAAAAACCTGACATTTTTAAACACGTGTAACTGGATCAATGTTAAAATATTAAAGTGAAAAAAAACATCAGCTTTGAAAAGACCATGAGGATCACACAATTGGTATTATATTGTTTTTCAAGGGATTTTATGTAGTGTACAGCCCTTTGGTGAAGTCTGACTATACAAAACTGCTGCACCATGCTATAGGTTTCACCAGGTGCCTGCACATCGGCTTTAGCATTGACTTGAGGTTCAGTGGCAGCACAGGTGAGTGACCTGAAGGACAGGTAATGAACTGATTTGCAGAAACCTGTTGCCAGTATATAGAAATCTTTGAAGAGTCGACATGGACATGGCTCCTTTTTTTATTCTTTTGAGGTTAGTAAATTTCCTGATATTATGTTAAAATATTGGCTTAACATTGTAATACAGATTAAGCTTTACTATCCCGAAATTTACATGGTTGCGTGTAATAACGATATGTTTAGACATTTTATTAAGAGTAATTTTCTATTCCCTTAGTCTGTTTCTAATTGGATACATTGTTCTGATCTTCCAGTATTTCTTTTCATTGAGACTTAAACTGTATGTCCAGCCAAATTCTTTTTGTTGGGATGGGTTAGAAAGTATTTTAAAGCAAACACTGGTAAAATGGGAATTGCTACTACTCTTGTCTATAGTTTGCATTGTAAATATAACAAAAAAGAACAACACACACACACACACACACATATATTTATATAATATTTATTTTATTACAAAGGGAAAGAGGAGTTTGATCAAAATAAATAAATATATTAAATATACGTATTTCAATGTGATGTAAGTAATGACAATGTGATTGCCTATCGACAGGCCTTTAGCTAACACAGAAAAATTGTTTTGGTCCATAAAGAGTACACAGGCGTGAGAGCTGATCTAGTTATAATCCAATTGTAATTCTTTTTTTTTTTCTCCAATGTTTCAGTAAATATTTTTGGTTTATTTAATCAGATCATATTCAGCATGAGATGATTTCGTGCCTTTGGGGCATAACTGTTACAAAAGCTCGTAGTGGGCCTTTTGTGATATTTTTGTATTAGCTGTGTCATATAATTTTATGTTGGTGAATGAATTTAAAATTCTCCTGAGCAGACAGAAAAGATTTTCATTCAGAGCTGGTAACAATAGCACATATGTCATTTTGAGTGTTTAGTAAGGACTATCGGCATGCTTTCTCTTTAGGTTTTCTGTACTGTTGATTTTAATGAGTGTGCCAGTGTAAAATGTTCTTATGGCATCTGTAGCTATGATTCTTCTAATTTGTTTGCAATCATTTTACACTTTTAAACAGCATTGTGAGTGAATATAGTCATGGGCCTGATGCATTAAAAAGCAGTATTAGTTTTTTTTTTTTTTTTTTTTTTTTTTTCAGTATTTTTTTTCAGCTTTTTGGACATTCAAATTTTTTTTTCCTATTTTCATACAAGTATTGTATTCTCTTAGGAGTTTCTGCATGTGAATTGAAAGAGGAACTTTCTTCCCTCCCATATTCCCCCCCTTACCTGTATTATTGAGTTCTCTTCAAAATACTTACTTGCCTTGCAGTGTTGTCCCACTGCAATCCCTCTTGCTGCTCTGTCATCCTGGGAGTTGACTGTTTCTTCCAGGTTAAGGTAACCAGTTCCTCATGACACCCGCTGGGCCGTCCTTCGGACACTATGGGGAAACTTACTAAAACTGGAGAGTACAAATTCTAGTGCAGCTCTGCAACAGAAACCAGTGCACTTCCAGGTTTTATTGTCAAAGGTAATTGAACAGTTATCCCGGGTTCACATATATGCGGTGTGAGAAATCGCAAGTGATTCGCACAGGAACCGCATCGCTCTAATCCAGGGGTCCTCAAAGTTTTTAAACAGGGGGCCAGTTCACTGTCCCTCAGACAGTTGGAGGACCAGACTATAGTTTAAAAAAAAAAAAACTATGAACAAATGCGGACACAGTACAGGAGATGACCAGAGACTGCGGACACAGTACAGGAGATGACAGAGACTGACACAGTGGACCAGAGACTGCGGATATACAATGGCGGCAGAAATACTGGGCCGGCCACTCTATATAAGATGCACAGACATTTCCCCCCAAGTGTGTCTTATGGAGCGAAATAGTGCCCCATCATTGGTGTCAGTGGGAAGAAACGTGCCCCATCATTGGTGTCAGTGGGAAGAAACGTGCCCCATCATTGGTGTCAGTGGGAAGAAACGTGCCCCATCATTGGTGTCAGTGGGAAGAAACGTGCCCCATCATTGGTGTCAGTGGGAAGAAACGTGCCCCATCATTGGTGTCAGTGGGAAGAAACGTGCCCCATCATTGGTGTCAGTGGGAAGAAACGTGCCCCATCATTGGTGTCAGTGGGAAGAAACGTGCCCCATCATTGGTGTCAGTGGGAAGAAACGTGCCCCATCATTGGTGTCAGTGGGAGGAATAGTGCCCCATCATTAGTGTCAGTGGGAGGAATAGTGCCCCATCATTGGTGTCAGTGGGAGGAATAGTGCCCCATCATTAGTGTCAGTGGGAGGAATAGTGCCCCATCATTGGTGTCAGTGGGAGGAATAGTGCCCCATCATTGGTGTCAGTGGGAGGAATAGTGCCCCATCATTAGTGTCGGGGGGGAGGAATAGTGCCCCATCGTTTGGTGTCAGTGTGGGGGGAGGGATAGTGTCCCAACATTGGTGTCAGTGGGTGGAATAGTGTCTTATCATTGGGATCAGTGGGAAGAATAGTGCCCCATCTTTGGTGTCAGTGGGAGGAATAGTATGTAATTGGTGTCAGTGGGGGGGGAAATAGTGCCCCGTCATTTGGTGTCAGTGGGGGGGGGGGGGGATAGTGTCCCAACATTAGTGTCAGTGGGAGGAATAGTACCCCATCATTGGTGTCAGTGGGGTTTGGAATAGTGTTTCATCGTTGGTGTGTCAGTGGGGGGGAGGAATGGTGCCCCATCGTTGGTGTCAGTGGGAGGAATAGTGCCCCATCATTAATGTCGGGGGGGGGGGGAATAGTGCCCCATCGTTGGTGTCAGTGTGGGGGGGGATAGTGTCCCATTATTGGGATCAGTGGGAAGAATAGTGCCCCATCTTTGGTGTCAGTGGGAGGAATAGTATGTAATTGGTGTCAATGGGGGGGGGAAATAGTGACCCGTCATTTGGTGTCAGTGGGGGGGGATAGTGTCCCAACATTGGTGTCAGTGGGAGGAATAGTACCCCATCATTGGTGTCAGTGGGGGTTGGAATAGTGTTTCATCGTTGGTGTCAGTGGGGGGGGGGGGAGGAATGGTGCCCCATCATTGGTGTCAGTGGGAGGAATAATGCCCCATCATTAGTATCAGTGACACCAATGATGGGGCACTATTCCTCCCACTGACACCAATGACACTTAACTTGCTGACCCCTGTTCCAGCATGGTGCTGCTGCATCCAGCATACCTGGTTGCAGCAGCACCATCTGCACGGCACACTTACCTGTCAGCTGTCCTTCACTCCGGCCTCTCCCTCACTCAATGTTCGCGGGGCCGCTCGGCTCCACCTCCTCACAGGTGATTGGCCACCTGTGTGCCTTTCCAGAGCTATAGTTATGGCGCCCAATCACCGGTGAGGAGGCGGAGCCGAGCGGCAGAGCGAACATCGAGTGAGGGAGTGGCCGGAGTGAATGAAGGAGCAGCGCTTCCTGGACTGGATTGTCGTGGGACTGGGACATGGAGCCAGGTAAGATACAGCAGCTCCCTGCATGCCCCTGTACTTAGTGTCCCTTCCTTGCGGCAAATACGTCCCTGCCGGCGGGCCGGATAAATGTCCTCGGCGGGCCACATGTTACCCACGGGCCGTAGTTTGAGGACCCCTGCTCTAATCGAACCATACCTGCACCAAAAAGGTGCAGGACCCTTTTTTTCGTCCGCACTAAAATCGGATTGCTTGGGTATTCACACCTATGCGATCCGATTCTGCCATGGCACCATGTTTTGTGGACCGATTTCGGGGTGCTGTTAACATACACACCCGCAGCATGAACGGGGTGCGAATCTGATGCGGTACGGAATTCACACAGAAAAATGCTGTGAATTCTGCACCACATCAGTGTGAACCCGGGCTTAGAAGCTGATTGGCTATCATGCACAGCTGTAGCAGATTCTGAATGAACAGATTTAGTAAATCTCCCCTGTGTGTCTGTACTCCTGCAGCCTTCTGGTAGATGAATGGTGATACATTTTGTGATTGCTTGCACCTAGAATAATGTCTGGACAACGTAGGGCACCGCTAGTGTCACAGGACCATGAGTGAGATTTACTAATATCACTGGAGAGAAAGCTACAGTGCAAAGATCTCTCTGCTTCTGATTCACTAACTTTGTCGATCTTAAATTTCTGCACCTCTCCTGCTGCTTCTTGAATGTTCCCCCTCCTGTCCCCAAGGTACCCCTCTTTGCATGGTGCAGGACAAGGCATGTTAAGTAAAAAATTGGGGCAAGATCAGCTGTAGGGAATCTACAGACAATAATGGCGACTTTTTTGGCCTCTGCTTATTTTGTGTGAAGCACTTCTTGTCCTCTTAAAATAGAGTTCCAGCCATAACATTTTTTTTGCCCGTGCTGTGGGGCTGTGCATGGGTTAACGTGCTTGTCTTGTTCTAGGGAAGGGGATAACAGAGATATACTTACCTGAACGTCTGATCTCCCTGCATAGCCCAGCCATCTTGTAAATGGACTTCCATTGATGGGTCAAGCGAGTATGAGCTTTGTTCTCACCCCCAGAAATCACAAGCAGCTGATTGCTGTCTTGAGTTCTTTACTTTAATATATATATATATATATATATATATATATATATTTTTTTTTTTTTAAAGCTAACGTTAACTATTTTAGATATCAGGTAGCCCTAACAACTGCTTATAGTGCAGGAGCACATGGCAATTTTTTAGTAGCTCAATCATACCACCTCACTATTAAAATTATTAATAATACTTTTCTACCTATGGTGTGCGCTAAACAAGTAGCATGTAGAAATGATTTGACAATGATTGCACGATAATCCACTCGTGGATGACTATTGCTACATTTATATTGCTACATTTATAGCGCACACTGTAGACATTTGTTCTATCTGTCTAATATCAATTGCTGCTGTTTGGCTAGATTTACAGTAGCCTAATGCAGGCCATAGACAGGTCGTTGATCAGCCGAATTTTCATCTGCACGAAAAATTGGCCGATAATCACGCCGTTATTCATGGATCTCCTCATTTATTTTTATTGGTTATGGTGGAAAATCCGTGAAAAACGGCCATTTTTCGTGGACATGGGTGGCAGCGTCAGCAACGGGGCTGACCGATTTTTTGTTTATCGGCCTGTCTATGGCCTGCCTAATGCCCTCAAAAGCAATCAGATGTGTATTGCTTTCAGAGTACAGATAAGCAACCGCTATCAGACACTCCTGAGGCCTCCTGAATGTGTGTGTTTTGTTTTTTTGTGTTTTTTTGTTTTTTTTCCCCCAAATGGTAGTTTACATTGCAACTAATGTACCACAGCAGTGCGCCAAGTGTATGGCCTGTGCTTGCGGCGTGGCCCTATTGACTTAAATAGAGAGATTTAATGAAACGTAGCCATAATACGTCCAGTCATGATTCCTAGAGTAAAGAGTAATGAGTTCTGTTCATTGTCCATCACCAGAGGATTTCCCATCAATAACCTATTGTTAAAAACACAAATTGTACAAAATTGTTACTAACCTATAAAAACTACAGCCATCTCTTACTTAAGATGCTCTAATGAATGGTCATCATACAATTAAATTTCCTGCCTATCCAACCTAGTATGTTAATTACCTTATTTTTTTGCAGGAAAACATGTAAATCAGAATTTAGTCCACTGGGCTATAATGTACCTCAAAGATGGATCCACTGTACTTCATTTTTTTTTTAGGGACAATTCTTGGTCACCACCTTGTCTGTTCCAAGTCATTCCATCTATCGCCATGCACCTAAGTTGTGCCACCGTATGTCCTTATTCTGACAAAAATTCTTGTACAACAGAATACAACTACAGAAGTGATGTATTCTTTCATTTCTGAGTATGCATGGTTTTGGTCTTCCGGTTTTTTTCCCGAACAAATACTGTACTGAATAAACAAAAATCGTACGTTCTGGTATTGTATGAAAAAAAATGTCGTGTTTGTCCCTTAGGATAATTTCACAGGAACTGTCGTGATCGTCTCTCAAAAGCTGACTAATGATCACATTATCGTACAATCGCTTCATAAGCTGTATTTTTTGTCTGGTTTTCTGATCATGTGTACTTGGCATTACAGTAGTTGAATCAGCTTATCGCTAATAAAGTATTTGTGTCTAGCAATCTAATCCTTTGCTTTTTGTGTGGTCTCCCCTACACATTGCAATCCACATGGACACTTAATATAGCTAACAAAACATGTATAAAAGCCTTGAACCTCTATGGGGATGTGTAAGATGCTTTCTCTTGATCATTGAATTACATTGTATGCAATTTAAACAAGGATATGATCCCACATTTCGTGGTTCTAAAAAGGTAACAGGAGCTGCAGATGGACGAAATTGAATGGATCTGCCGAATCTGCTGTGTATGGTCTTACCTCTCTGATATGAGAGTAAAGTTGGTACACTAAACTCTGGTAATCACTTATGCTTTTTAATGATATTAAATACATGGGGTGAATAAAAGTGATATTGTAAAACAAAGGGCAATTTTCTATTCTGTTGACCTCCTGCTACGAGAGACGGGGAGGTTAACCCTTTCCTTTCTAATCATCTGAGCGGGGTAGCCCCTTTTATAATAGTTGACATTCCATCTCATTAAGTCTTTTCTCACGGTCTGTTGGATCACTTACAGTTCTTATTACTCAAGTCATCTGTGGCTTAGGGATGACTTAGACACCCCGAGGATGAAAAAGTTGGTTACAATCTGTAGATTTTACGTATAAATCACTAATAATATGATCATCCTGGATCTTTAAGAGGGTATCTAGAAATTAAATTCCAATGTTACTCCAAGTGATATTAAATCCCAAACCTGGTACAAGATAATTAAGTAGGAATGGAGAAGCAGGAGGGAATCAATGTCACTCACCCACACAGCGAACACATTGTCTATGAAACAAAACCAACACCGACATTTCTCTTGAAACAAGACATTATAATAGATGAAATCACTCTCTATCATGTCCATAAATGTGTTTGCATAGGGGTGCCGACATTAGAACCCATGGCTGCACCACTGAGTTGTAAATAGTAACTGTCCTTAAATAGAAAAAAAACATTCTTCCAAAACAATCAACATTAATTGTAATAAAAAGGTTATTTGTGTATAGTTTAGAGTTAATCAAAAGGCAGCAGCATGACTCCATTTTCAATTCATGTGGAATAACTGTATATAGGTTTGACACATCCCACGGCACTAATATAGCATCAGGGGTAACAGAAATGTCCCTGATTTTATCTAGGAAGTCCCTGTATCTCTTATATATGACTGTGGTTTCAAGATCAAGGGTGTAATACATCTGTCCTGAAATTTAGCTATTAGAGTGGTTACAGATTCAGTGCTGGACACAATAGGGCATTCTGGGGCATTAATAGGGTTCTTGTGGATTTTGGGCAGCGTATACATAATAAGGGTAATGGGGTATTTTGTATTCAAATAAAACTGAGTTTCACTATCTATAATACCATCCCGTACAACTTGCTTCACTATTTAATTCTGGAGGCTTAACCTCCAAAAGGTAAGTCTCTCTATCAGCCAACTATCTAAAAACCTATTCCTCATATTTTTTTGTATCCATGATAACAATCTCCCTTCAACAAACCTTCTTGATGAACAATTCTACAGCTGGGCAAAATGTAGGAGGAGTAATTTGGCTGTTCTCAAATCTAAACTGTTAATTTACTTAGTCTAGAGTCCTGAGTAATATCTAGATGGGAAAAAAAAACCTTTAATCTAATAGGTCTAAAAACCTATATACAACCTATATACAAACGGATCCATTTTCTCCTTAGTGCAAAAAAACCTACCCCTTGATTAAGAACTCTCATCTCAGTCTGACAATATAGCT